GGTAATAAGTTCGAAATTTCCTAAATAAAGGATTCACCACATTATACAAAAATTATGTTACTCACAGCTATTTGTGATCTATTATCTAATTTGAATGTGACGTATAAATTTCGATCATTATTTTTTTGTAAGCCAAATCTATCTATTTGCAATATATAAAGTACCTAGTTAGGCATTCCCACTATTAAATCTTCTGATTCCAACTTTGGATCTGTACTCCTTCATTACACTTCGATCTTGTTCTGTATCTTGGAATTACTGTTCTATTTGTTATTTGCGTTATCTGTTAACAATAAGCTAAAAAAATAGAATTTGTCATGCAGTTCTATTCGACTCAAAGTACGTAAGTATTTCACTTCTTCATCCAACTTATTCACCAACTTAATTCGATATTTGCTATGATAATAGCCATGATTACTGGCTCGTGGCACCAAATATTTCTGTCGTGAAAGATTGGCATTATAGTGAAGAAAGGAAACATACATGCTTTGAATCGAATACAACTGTGTGACAAATTTTATTATTGTTAGTTTATTGTTAACACTGCAGATAACCAAATATAGCATATCAACTTTGAGATACAGAAGAAGATTGAAATGTAATATCAGAGGTGAGGGAGTGTAGATCCAATGTCAGAATCAGAAAATTTTAATCGTCTCGGAATGCTTAATTAGGATCTTTATATATTGTAAATAAGTGGTCATGGCTTAGAATAAAATACAAGATTGGAATTTACATGTTAATTAATTTACCAGATGTCCAGAATATAAGCTTGCTAGGCGCTCAAGACAAAAATTTTTATGTAAGAGAATTTACTATATGACTGAAGAATTTTTTGGAATGCAAGTACTTTGATTATTTCAATACAAGAATTGTTCCATAAATTATTCTATAAAGTAACATAAATTTGTTTTGGTATTTCCTACAGAAATATCCATCAAATATCCATTCCTGTTCCACTTCTAAAATCTGATCGTTAATTGCAGTAAGATTAAGATCTCTGTTGTTAACTCTCTCTCCCTCTCTCTCCTTCTTGGCATAAAAATTCCTTATGGTACTTGAGGCTGCTTTATGTCTGAAGTTGTGCCTATATGGGAGTTACAGGACTGATCGAATAATTTTTGTTATGTGGAGAATTAAGTTGTTGTTGTTTTGGGAGACTGTTCTATCACGCAGAAAGTCATTTTATCTATTTAAGGATTGCTTAAACTTAAGTAGTAACTTTTTTGCTATTTTCTTACTAAATTCTCAGTCTTTAAAATCAATAAATTGTATTTAAATTTTAAAAGCGAAACAAACAAGAAATAATTAATATTCGACGAATATTCTGTAAAGGCATTTTTGCTTACCACATATTAGTGAACATTTTGTATACTTATATTATAATATATAGGAGGTATAGTTTGACAGAAAATGCAGGAATAATTCTCTCCATACTTTCAATTTTAAATTTAATCTTTGTAAAAATTGGCAACGTTTACTGACGACAAACTGCTCAGTGCGTGGCGGTTGGCTTCGTGACACTCATTTCTTGCACTTCTAACCAAATCGAATTTATCGACTATTGTAATTCGATTATTTGTTATGCTTCTAATGTGATTACTAATTACATAGAATGAAATATAAAAGTGTAATGTGCGAGAAAGAATTGTAAATTATAGCAATAACTTCATTTTGCCACAATTGGACAAAAGGCTTAAGGAGTGTTAATTAACTGGTGGACGGGATAGGATTTCTATTTCCTAAAGTAACTGAAAAATAATGGGTCAATCAGTGTCTACTTGAATTCCAAGGTCTAAAGTATCGAAGAGCTCTATGGGAAAATTTCAATGTTCACATTTTGAATTTTAAACATTCAAATCAAGTTTGTCATGTTAGAGAAAAAAAGTCCATCTTGCTGAGGAAGAGTGAAGGGTAGAACAGGCGTGTCCTACGCCATAACTTATAGAGGAAAGAGAAGCGGTAGAGTGTGCAAACACCAATCCTAGAAGGGAAGCAGACGCAACGCTTATAAAAATATCATTGAGGATAATTCACGTCAGAAGGAAGCAGCAGTAATAAAGGAAGAAGTTTATTTTAGAGAAACAGGATAGCAAGTTAACGATACGGTAGTAGGACGTCATGTGATGAGGTGACAGAGAGAGAAGGGACGATGACATGTGATGACTTGTGTGTTGTTAATGTTGTTATGGATGCTGGCACAAGTTCTCATCATTATTATTATATCTGCTAATGTGTGGATGAACAGGAGAGAACGAAATTAAGCACCAGCTTTAATAGGAATTGTTTAGTGCTTGTCGTCGTAAACTGAACAAGGCTTCCCCTTCCTTCCTCTCTTTCATTTCAATTCAAACAATATAAGGAGTGGTGAATGATGCGTGACACTTACTTGATCCTTCTCCATCACATTATAAATCTAACTGTTTAGATTTCCTCTGTTTAGTTGTCAGTCACTTTCCCATCATTGACCGCATTATGAAAAACTATTGGAGATTTCCATTGCTTTATCTTATTGATTGAAAGCTGGTCCATAAAATATAGTCTCAGTGCCTCAGGACAGTCTCATCCTCTCCTTTTATCTTTTTATTCAATTTCCAAATAGCATTTTCTCTCTGTGCTGCTGTCATCTATCCTTCTGTTCATTCACTTCATTATTATGCCGAAAGGATTCCATTTATTGAATTTCCGTTCACTCATTCACTCACTCATTATTTCTTCCATCCATTTTATCATTGACTACACACTAATCTAAGCTGTCACTTATTAACATTCTTAAACGATTCCGCACATTTGCCAAGAATTTCTGTCGTAAACAACACTACTTCCTTCCCCAATTCCTTCATTTCTATCAATTTTAAATTTATTACAATATTCATAATTGCGTTCATCACAATTAGCCTAATTTTGTCAAATTTCAATCGCATACGAATTGCAGAGTTCAGTGATCTCGTAATTTGAAACGCTGAACTGTTGGTTGTTTCACTTTAATTGTGTGCATATATGATTGGGTAAATAGCTCGTATTCTATTTTTACATCATTTCTGCTTATTTACATGATAATTACAAGGCTGTATGTTACGTAATGTGAAACAGAATTTCCGGTCAAGAAATCATCAATAAGGCATTGTTGACTATTGATCCACGAAATATCTGAGGTCATGAAAAAGACGGCAGGATCAGTGTCTGATCAGTGAAAAGTTCAAAAATTAATGGATTGCGGAAATGGAGTTGAGGACGGAGCAACTTTTTCTATCAAGAAAGTTGTGAATAGTTTCAGTCTTTAGAATGACGACGCATCAATACTAATGAATCACGTATAACTTATTATAGTTGAGTGCATATCTCTGCCTTAATGGAATTTTCAATTCGCCATTTCTTCTCCCGTGCCACACATGTCGTGAAAGTGGTTTTGATTTGAGTAGTTTGTTATAACGCACACAAAGATTGTTGGAGTCATGATTTGAATCATTTGCTACCTTCGATCTGTTCTGCTTGAATTGTGACACACCAAAAACATGTGCACTAAAAATAACATCCTAAATAACAGTTTAGAGATATCTTTATATGTTAAGAACTTCCAGTCGCAAATTAGTCCAAATCTCAGTCCCCTGTATGACATTCAGGCAGTTAATTCGATTCGTAGGTCTTTCGTTAGTTTTTCCAATCAAACATTGAATGTTCACTTCTTTTGATTGTTAATTTAGCCTTAAAGTCTGGGACATGTTGTTGAATATTCTTTCATCATTCCAAATTGTGGGAACTGTGCAACGTTACTTCTTCACACATAAGATCCACTTTCTAGCGTCAAAAATAATAGCCAAAAGTAACTTAGGTGTTTCGATGATCAGAATCATTATGGCCCTATATAACTTGGTCTTTCCATAATTTGGTCGAAAAGTGAATAATGTTTCCATTCAATTATTGCTAGTAACTGTATCTCGTGATATAGTCAACTTAGGAAGGCTTAAACATGAAATCTGCGAGATATAGTTGCATTAGACTTGCCCAAAACCGTAATCGTGCGAATTCAATACAAATCGAATTTGCTATCGCTCAATAACATGAAAAGGAAACGGAAGTAATGTGAAGAGGTCTGAGTCAGCACTTCTGTCAGGTGTTCTATTTCATCTCTGGGTTGCTCTCTCACATAGGATTGAGTATTTCCGCTATCAACATTAGGAGTTTTTGTAAAAATTTCCACATATTCCGTGCTTTCTATTGGATGTGAAAGCTTGTTGTGATTGGTCATGTGTTGATAACACCGTTATTGTCAAGCCAATGTTTTAAAAATGTTGAAAATTCAGCAATTATTATGGGAATGAGGTTTTTTGGAGGCGTTTTATCCTTATTTGGATAGGACAGATGAAGCACCATACTCTGACTAAATTGCCAGTGAATTCTCCCCATTCTCGAATAGAAAGCAAATTACATCTGTCCATGTTAGACCTTAGACCCTCTCAGGAAGGTATTTGCTAGATAGCGTTCCAAAATGTCAACCGAATTCCTTAAATCTCATGCAAGTTCAAAGACTTCCAAATTGAATTTTAATCAGCCCACAATTTTAGCCCCTTCTCACTGATACTATTTCAAAAATTGTGTTATTAATTTGAATTATTTATTAAATTATAAGCAAGTCTATTGCTTCTAATCTTTCCAGTCATCAACAATCATCAAAAAAAATATTACTGGAATCACCAAACGTCCAGATGAAATGTTCAGATCTTCAGGTACTTTCATCTGCGATAACGGCCACTCTCTGTTGATTGAACCAGCAGCAATACTGTATCAGTTTTTTTTCCGAATGTTAGCATGTCATTTGAACATCTGGTAATTTCGTAAATAATATCTCTTAGTTATTGAATTTCAGTTTGATTAACAATTTGAGCTGGATTGCTTCGCCTAAGTACCACATAGATCCATTTCATTTATATATTAATTATAAATGACCATAGTTTCAATCCCAATTTCATTCCATCATTTTCAATTTCTAATTTCAGATTATGGTGGATACGGATTTTAACGAATTATCCATACACCGAGTCACGGAAACAGATTTCGATGATGTTAAAAAATTTTTGCTAGCCGATTTCTTATACAATGAACCTCTGAATAGGTCAGTCAATCTAAATGCTGAAGATTCGGATGAGCTGTTTAGTGGTTAGTTTATCGGACATTTTTTCCTGTTTCCTTGCCATAAAAGTTGTCAAATTACGAATTACAGAAGTTGTTTTTAATTTTAATAGGGGCAATCATTACTCCCTTTCTTTAATTTACAAAGAAAGACATTCTGAATCAACGGTTAGTAGACCTGACAAATCGTGGGATTGCCTCTTCATTATCATACGTTCTACGAGCACCCGATGGCGAGATTGCTGCACTTAGGTTAGCTACAATACTGGATCGACCGGAAGAAGAGCATCAGAGTCAGGTATGTACTTATCTACTTTTTCCTTAATTTTTTCGCTATCCTTTCATTGCGCAATTATCAGAAAATGATTTGCACATGCGTTGTTGCAGTTGTAGAACGTATGATGAAAAAAATTCTTCCAGCACGGTGAAGTGCCAATAAATGCAGCGAGTGATAATAATAATATGACAGTAACGAAAGCAAAGGTGTATTGTCCGAGAGCGCAAATTATTGAGGATATTCTTATGGAACTGGAAAGCAAGGCTTGTGGATTATTTCTATTCCCTTCTGCTATATCATATATTCCTTTTTCACTCTTAAACGTCGTCTAACAATACATTGCTTTCAGATATGGTTTCTCATTAATCCTCGATTAAATCGCCTGCTGCTCTGGTCTATAATTTCAGTACACAAAAACTACACTAGACGTGGATTTGCTTTAAAAATGCTTTGTTATAAGTTGGATGAGGCTATACAAATGGGTTGTCAGGGTTGTATTGCAGAAGCATCCTCATTTAAATCACAACTGGTATTTTTGTACCTTCATTTGTAAACGAAAACAAAAATTGGCCACTCTTCATAAATGGAAGAGTCTCACTTCTCACCTTTTCCGATCGGCATTAAATCATTTTTGGACTCTTAACTTTTCACTATCAATCAAGTCATTCCTAATCTTTCAGCATTCTGTGCAATTAATAGTGGTAATTTGTAATTTGTAGCTATTCAAAAAAATTGGATACGAGAAAATTTACGAGGTGAAGCACAGTAATTGGCTTGATGACAGAGGACAACAGATCTTCAAATGTGATGACAGTACGGATTCCGTGCAGCTTTTTTTCAAACCATTGCAATAAATTCTTAATAAATTCAACTGCTTTCTTATAATTCGTAAAATTTCTATTTCATTAAGCAAGCAATTTTTGCACTGTTCATTAGAATAATTTGCTGAACAAATGTTTAATTTCAGTTTAGCAAATGCATGCTCAAAAAGTTCAGTTTTTTCCTCCTTTTCCTTTATTTGTTTGTATCATTAATTAAATTGTATGAAACACTGAAAGTGGCATTAGTAAACACATACGATCGCAATTATTTTTTCAAACAATTTTATGTAACAATCTGTTTGTTTAATTGAATTATTTTGGATAATTGAATTGTTAAATGATTGATTTGCAAAAATAATGAAAATTGATCATCTGAATATATTTTCAGTATTTTACTTAAATATTCAATATATCTAATCTTTCGCAGATAATCTCCTATAGCAAAGGGAAACGAATCATGATTTTTATTATTATTATTTTTTTTGGTGATCAGTAAATCACTCATTGAAGCGATGAATGAATGAATGAATGAATCAGAGAATAAATATCTAATCATTTCTTTGACTTTAACTGAAACATGATTATCCATTAAATTTTAAAATAATAACTAAACAAAAACGGTAGCGGTGAATGAAAGGGAAAAAGCTTGACGGTAAGTCCAATAGAAATAAGCATATAGCTATAATTATCCTTAACATATTTTTGCAAAGTCGCTTTGAGCGGAACTACGGCCTATAGAAGGTGCTAAACCTATATGGAGAGAAAAGCTACGCTGGGTTTGAGGTAGCAGTTTAAAGAGGATGGTAAATCTCATCTAAGGCTAAATCAAACAATTACCGCTAGGGAAATTACAAAGAATTTTAAAAAGAGAGAATTCTTTATTGTTTAGTCACACATCGATTATACAATAAAGAATTCTCTCATTTTATAGTTCTTCGCAATTTTTATAGCTCAATAATATATATGAGGTAAGATAAACCCCATTTACGTTACATGCAATAGAGGACAAGTGAAGTGTATGTGCTTGGAGTCGGAAGATAGTGAACTATATCTGAGCAGATCGAAGTCAGAAGAAATCTCAGTATTTCTTGACTGATTCCTACATTTTTTTTTCGGCTATTTTGTAAGGAAACTAAAACCGTTCTACTTCAATTCACTCACAGTTCTATTCGAAATGATTCTTTTCATCAATCAATATTTAATCGTTTATCGACTTGAATATCACTCGGCGAGAAAAGAGAGGAACCTTTATTTGATATCATAAGCTCCACAATCGATAATTAACGAGATTGGCACGAAGTAAACAGTATGTTGCAAACTCCTTATGAATATTTACTAATAATGGAATATGGCAGTGAGAAGTGACTAACATGGTAACATGTATCTTTTCAGAATAATTCACTTTGTTTCACTATGGAAGTTCAGTGTGAAGAGAATGTGGGAATTTTGGAAGTATAAAAGGATAATCTGATAATTCACCCTTAATATTATAGAAACCTTGAATGGATTGAGGTGAGAGGAGACTGCAAGGTTCTTCTCTCTACTTCTCTTTCTTCTTTTCTAAAATTTAAAGATATATTCTGAGGTTTGTATTCTGCCGTACCTGCGCAATTTTTCTTTTTGATCTTATATTTTTATAATAGCATCTATTCCACGCGTACTAATTTGGCTTAGGATTCATGGGCCTTTTGGATCCTTTTTGGACCTTAGACTATACACCAAGGCACAGATGGAGGTGGAGAGTGACAAATCATTGAAGTTAACCAACAGGTGATGTCGATAAAAACTAAAAGTTAAAGTTATCGAATTATCAGATAGCCATTTGAATTATTACAGTTCTTCTTTTCATCTTCTAACAAGTTAAGGAAAAGAAAAGGTCAACGTGCAAACCTATCGCATCTCACGTCATGCAACCATTTTGACGTGAAAATATGATTCAAAGAGATCATCATCATCATAAAGAGACAAACCTTTCTTCTGTTATTACAATTTAAATAAGAGTATGTATAATGAAATATTGTTCCATTTTATTAAAAATTTTTCAGAGTAGAATCAATAATAATATAATGTATCCTTTTCAGAACTATAAGTAAATCAGTAATAAAACTATAAGTAATGATTCTTCTAATAGAAGTTATTCGGTAATCTCTAACCTTCCAAAAATTTCACTCAATTAACGCTATTTCATTTATTTCAACAAAAAATGTTATCCTCTTCCCAAATTTTTGCCTTTACGATACACGCGTATCTAAAAAATTTACTTTAGAGGGAGAATAAGTTTCTGTGAGTGTTGCTTTCATGTGATAAATGGCCTTATTGTATTAGCAATGATTGCGTGACAGTTTCCTTTTCGATGCTAATATATTTCGAAATGCTTTGAAAGAAATTTTTCTTAAAGTTATTTGTCAAAGAGCGAGCGGTATGATTTTTTATAAGCAACCATTCATAGTGTGTTGGCAAATTTGAATACTTTTTAGAACTGGCAAGAAATTGTATCTGTCAGTATGTATTTTATCAATTTCTTTCTCCTCTTCTACTTCCAATTAAACATTCAAATTACAGTAAATTCATTAGAAGTTGAAAAAAGTAATATTTCAAAGATTTCAAATTTTCGACATTAGGTAAATTGAATAATTTTATGTAATTTCAGGCAGCACAAACACCATAAACACAACCGTTAGATTTATCGGTGTCAAAAGTGAGTGAGGGACCAATAAAACTACAGGATTCATAAATTAATGAACCGTCGTATTTGGAAACTCATAAGAGGGCTCACAGTCGTGCAGTTGTCAGTATAAAAAGAATTTCTCTCAACCTGTCTTTGAAAAGACATAAGATGACTCATAGCAGTGGAAAAATAAGGTGAAATGAATAATTTTATACAATTTCAGAAAGCACAAACGGTACAAAAGAGCCGTTGATTTATCGATGCGAAAAATGGTTATGCAACAAATAAAACTGCTGAGCTTATCAATAAATGATGGAAATAAGGAACAGATATAATCATCGAATTTAACAATCCAAGGAGTGTATTCTAAACAAAAATTACAGCGTGATGTTTGTCGAAAAAATAACGGTGATAAGTCGCGCAAATGTCCGACATGCAGATGAAATTTCTCTGATTCATTGAATTTGAAAGAACATAAGAAAATTCACACCGGTGAAAAGCTGCACATCTGTTCGAAATGTAATGAAAGTTTCTCTCAAACATGGCATTTGAGAAGACATAAGAGGATTCATACCGATGAAAAGTCGTACAGCTGTTCAATATACAATGAAAGTTTCTCTCAATTATCGCATTTGAGAAAACATGTGGAGACTTATACCGTTAAAAAAGTTGTACAATTATCCGACTTGCAAGAAATGTTGCTACTGAAGAGATAATTTTAATAAGAACATGCAAACTCATAACAATAAGAAACTCCTTTTCAATTGAATTGTTGCATGCAACCAAAATTTATTAAAGCAATTCATTTTGTATCTCACATGAAGAAAATTTATGCTGAAAAAGGAAGCAGCTAAGGTCATTTTAAACTGAAATAATCGCTGCTATTTCCGGTACTACAAATTGTTTCGGTATTTCGTTAATTGAATTCTTGCAATTTAATCATTCATCCATAATATTTATTATCATTTTTTGCTACTATTGTTATTCCTTACCTATATATTATTTATTTTATGTTCATTTTAATGAATAAAATTCTCTGTATCGTTTATCTACTCGCATACTTATTAGACAGACAATCACTATAGCATTAGTTATGGGATGAATCACTTATAAAAGTGTTGATGAATCAATCTCATATCGGATTTTTATCTTTTTCGGAAGACCCGCTTTGACCCGAATGATTTTACATCCTATTAGGATGTTCTCCTCCAACATTTGCTTAAATTAGTTATTCAAAGTTATAGGAATTTTGATAGAAATGTGTCAATTTCCTTCTTTCCTTTGTTAATACAATCGTTGAAAAGAGAAAGTGAATGAATTAAAAGAAAGGAATAATAATATGCTTGCTTATATTCATTGTGGAAGCATTTGATGATCGGTTGAATGTGTCATCTGCTGGTGACAGGTCAGATTGCGCATTGCTTCCAGTCTTCACTTGTGGCTGAGATATGTACTGGAAGAAGATGCTGGTGAAAGAAAAACGGGAGAAGAGATGGTGAATGAGAAACTTAACTTATGCTGTGCAATTGGGAGAGTTTAACTAAAAAAAATAGTATTTTCTTCGTTAAATGACTGTTGAGTGGAAATAATATAAATTCTATTCGTTCGATCTTAAAGCTTTTTTGATCTATTCTAGCAAAATTTTTACATCTTTCAGGAGGACTAAACTTGTCCAATTCAGAAAGTCACCTCTTTATGTTAAGAATCAATAGAGAGATGAATGACTTTCTGTTGAAAATTCAACTAATCTTAATTCGGGAAATATTTCAAATAAATGGAGCGCATCATATCACAAATAGCAACCGGTGAAATAATGTCCAAGGATGAGCAAGAGATTTAGGCTTGGGCTTAGGCTTAACCTAAGTTTCATATAAATAAGTAGTGCCAAATAATCACATAGCCAATTTCATATAAATATAAAACTGTTAGTTTTAACGAAAGCGACTATTTTCGGAAGAAATTCATCATCTTATACTTTTTATTATAATGACTTGAGCAAATCTTCTGAAGAAATATTATTTACAAAAAATGGATTTCTGAGATTACAATTGCAATTGTATAATTTGGAATAAAGTAAGTGTATCACAGATATGAGAAAAAAGAATTCGATTCGGAAAAATTACTATTTTCTATAAAATAACAAACATGATCGAAGTACACATCTTTGTTATCGTTTACATCATTTCTTCTCTATTCTTTCTCTCAAATTTATTTTTAAATTACAATCAAATTACTATTTATGCTATGAATCATTTGAGTAAGAGATATTTCCTCAGTAAATTATTCGTGTTAATGAAACATATTTGTTACAAATTACTTCGAATTTCGTAACACTTCTGAATGAAGGAGTTCAATACTTTGGGAGAGATAAATTAAGAATTAAAACAAAAAGAATTTTGCCTTATAACTGCCATTTGGTTAGCTGATATTTCTTAACTACCATTCATAAAAAATGGGGTTTTTATGTCTTCGATGAATTCGCCGCTTGGTAGCAAGGTTCTTCAAAATCTTTTTTGATTGGGTTTGTTAGATTACCTTGCGACTACTATTTTTCTTTCTTCGTTCCATATTATTCCTTGAATGCAATTTCCCATTGCAGCCAAATTGATTCCCCTCCCATAAAACATGCTGGCCTTTTCCATTGCAGTTCGTAATTTTTCAGATTAACATGAGATAGGCATTTTACTGCCACATCATCGGGGCTGCGAACGACCGCGATGTAACGAAAAAGAATTTGGCCCTTCGTATTTTTTCACCTCAATTTTGTACGAATGTTGTTAATAATTGGGATTTATTTTGGATCCAATGTAAACCGCATTGAGAATCCTATCATTCGTACGATTCCATTTCCTATACATTTTTCCACGAATTGAGCAGTCCGATGAGTATTGTGAATTCGTATCGAGGTACTGTAATTTCATTGATCAATGCAATTCGGGATTCAGCAAAAACCAACAAATATTTCCTTTTCTTCGTCTTGTAGATATACGCTAGTTGGAAACACATTGGTTGATGATGAGGCATCAGTGAAGACATGAAATTGTGATTGCTCATAGAAGGTTGCTATGAATACCAATAATTATATCAGTTTCTTGCGTCATATTCATTGGTGAGCGTAAACCAGAAGATTTCATCAAAAGGATATTGGGTTCTTTGCTTAGAAGGCTTAGGGTTACGTTTTTTGGGTTTATGCTTAGGCTTACGCTTAGGCTTAAGCTTAGGCTTAGGCTTAGGGTTAGGCTTAGGCTTAGGCTTAGGTTTAGGCTTAGGCTTAGGCTTAGGCTTAGGCTTAGGCCTAGGGTTAGGTTTTTTGGGTTCGGGATTCAGCAAAAACCAACAAATATTTCCTTTTCTTCGTCTTG